GCAATCTATTTTGCATGATTGGAAATTGAAGATGCATTATTAAAGAAAGAAGAGTGTAATATCAAACTAGATGATGAGAAATTTAAAAAAGACAAAAATATTTACGAATCAGTTTTTCCAATTTATCAAAGCAACTATAAAATCATCTGAACAGCTCATAGAGAGATATGGGAGAGAAAAAATCGAGTATATTTAAGTCAAGAATTATTGAAGTCCATAATTATACTTTAAAAATAAATAACTTAAAATAAATAGCTTATGTTATAAAGTCCAAAAATAAGTATCCTCTCTTTTTTTCACACCGGAGGGAGGTAACATCTAATCGAAATAAAAAATAATGTCCTCCAGTTAAGGTATATACCTCAGAGCTGTTGGTACTATGGTATTTTAAGAAAAGCGAAATCAAAGAAAATGCAAAAGTTCAAAACAAACAGCTCAAAAGTTATAAAAGTTCAAAAGCATGAGAAATACCGTTTTGTACAGAAAGAATTCTATAAGAAACTAAACTATTAGTTTCGTTGAGTTTATTAAACAATTAGGTTTGATATCATTTGATTCAGTGCGAAGAATAGAAAAAAAAATCTCATTTGTCTGTATTGAGCTATGTATGCTCCCCCCCCCCTCTTACTCTCAGTCGCACACACACACACACCACACACACACACGGTAAATTCTAGTTGGCTATTAAAACCCACCTTCGCGTGAAGGAAAAAACATAATACATCTATACTTGATTATATAAAAGTTATAAAGATTCAAAAAATATGAAAGTGGTTAATGTCGACGTGCTTTGAGTCCTCGAAAATAGGCACCCTTACCCAAATATTGACAAACGGGAATGAGGAAAAACAAAGATTTGAAACAGAAAACGTGAAGTTGTGAACAAAAAATTAGAGAGAAACTCATATTGTTAAAAAGAGTGACGACATTTACATGAACGACATTCTGCTACATAATTATAAGCTGATGTCAAAGGGGTAAAATAATTTTGTCATGATATAAATTAAATTTCTTTCCATAGTTGCAACAACGTACGGAATAACTGAAGCAATGTAATCAAGGTAGCAACATCTGACAAACTAAACTCGTCTTAAAATTTAAAATAAATGAAGATTATAGATATATCAGTTTTCAAAAATTCGACAAATCATCTACACTGTAAAAATTTCCAGTCAAATTACAGTAAAAAATACCAGCACTCATGATGTCGGTACATTTTACCTTTAAAATCCCTTTTTAACGGAATATGTTGCGGAAATAAAACGTAATAATGTTTAGACGCAGTAATAACTACCGTTCCGTATTTACTATACTGTGCTAAATAATTACCGTAGTAATTTTTATTGTAATAATTATCATAATCACTGAATCACTCTAATTAAATAAATATTGCTGTCTAATATTTTACGGTAAAATGGATTTTACTGTAAAATAGATTCTACGGATGATACACTTAAAGTGTCGGAACTTTATACTGCAATTTATTGCGGCATTTCTTAACGATGCAGCTTTCGATAAGTTTACACGAATGCTGGAATGGTGAGTGACAACTGAAAATATTGAAGCAATAAATGTAGGGTATACGATAATTCAAAAAGGAAATAAGCAAGTACAATTGACAGATAAGCTATTGTGAGTTGTATATGTATACAGATATACTAAATCATTACATTCAATTTTATATTCAATGTATACGAAATTGTGTAGGTTTGCTCTAAATAACTTATGTTTAAATACTCCAATAAACAAGTTATGATGTTACTTTCAAACAATGATGTCTTAGAGTAATTATACTAAAAAAATAGCATTTTATCAAATATAGAATTGAAAAGCTTTTGATGTAAGTATTTTGCCATAATATTGTGAAATTAAAACACAATCCTCATTTTAGGGAGAAATATGAAATCCTTGAAAATATCTTTAATCGATATATTTTGAGTTAATACGATTGACTGTGTCACAATATGCAAATTCATAATATAATAATAAATATGTAGATTCAACCCATTTTACTATCCTATGTATCCCATGTGCATTATATATGTATACAAAGGACAAAATTAAATAATTTGTATCGAAATGTCTCTTTCAGTGTATTAAAACAAAACCAAAATCAGTGACTAACATTGAAGGCACCAAAAGTGTCATTCACCGATCAGGATGAATTTTTTTCACTGATAATTCTTTTAAATTTTGAAACCATACAATAAATTTATTTCTAAATTTTTCTTATTTAGTTATAAATTATCTAAAGTTACAACTTTTTACGTGAATGCATCGTGCCATCAACTTTCGTTCATTTCGCAAACGAAAAGTTTTGTTGACTCTAAAATTTTATTTTAAGACTTTTCTCCTTAATCGAAAACTTTAATATTTGAGTTTTAAAAGGTTAAATTTAAAAGTTTCTAACGAAATATCGAAATCTAATGATGGTGTCGCTGTTTTTCATTGTTTTTGGTACATTATTATTGGTCAGAAAATCGCATCATAAGATTTAGTTTTCTCATATTAATTTCCATTTCAGCATAAAAGTCATAAAAGTATTGATTTTCTGTAAAATAATTTTATATTCCAAATTTTACGGCATTTGCCTGTAATAATCATTTTGATTATTCTACTATTATTAAGTTTTAAAATTTGATTGTTTACTAAATTAAGAAAGATTTAGTTAAGACTAAATTANACCGTCATTGTCAGAATGCTTCTCCATTACGCCGAACAAGCTTACCCGACCGTCAAAGTTGCCGTACTTCACCCTGAATTTGTCGCACGCTTCTACGTTACAACAGCGGATGGCGCTTATGAAGGAATGGCTCTTCTCAACGATATCAGCGACCAGAACAAGGCTTCCAACTATCTATACGGCGTTCAACAAGGATTCGACGTGCTACTCATTCCCATTCACAAGAGAGCTCAAATGGATAGAGGCGAGCACTGGATGCTAGGAATTTACGAAGCAAGCTATGGAGAACGTCAACTATTAGTCTGCGATCCAGTCGACAACCCGCTGCCCATCGATGCTGTTTTGAGAAAAATACTGCGACACGTTTTGAATACCGTTGTTACGAATGAAAAGCTGAAAGGATGCATCGTGAAACCTCGCAACGCTTACAACCACCAAGATGACGCGTCTTCCTGCGGAGTTTACATCGTCTTTTATGCTCGACAATACCTCTCTCATCGACGCCTTTTCCTGGACAAGAATTTTCAAGAAGCGGATGAACGGAAGCAAATTTACGAATTCGTTGTGAACAGTGACCAATTGAACATGTCGGGACCATCTGAAGCCGCATCTTTCACATCTTCGACCAATATGCACGCTTTGAATATCCAAGACCCGAGGATAACGCCGTTGCGCCCGACAAGAGCAGTCAAGCAGCGTAGCAAGGAACGAATCTCGGATATATTGATGGAACTTAATGCATTTCAACGAGAAAAATACCGCGATTATGAAAGACGCAGACGAAAAAACGAAACAATTAGTGGCCGCAACATTCGCCTAGAGGAACAACGCCGCCGTAATGAAAGACTCCGTAGAGCTGCGAAATCTCGGCCTGCGTCAACTTACAAAAATGCTGCAACTTCCGACGTGGAATATCAAAGTCTTGGTCCATTTAACGTCGCTTGCATCCACGATGGCGCTTTGCATTTCCCAGAAGAAAGAGTGAAGAACAAAATACACGTAGATTCATTTGGCGACTGCTGCTTACATGGAAGAATCAAACTACCAATGCCCGAATTTCCAAACGAATTAGCGCTTCTATTTGCACGACAACACCGCCTATCGGAATAATTCCACAGAAGGATCCGCAACATCAACGCCTGCTTTGCACTTGCCTCATTCAAAGTCGACGACGACAGAACCGTCAATCAAAATGGAATCTACGCGTTTATCGCCGGCGGTCAAGTCCATCACAAGATCAACCTGGCAACACTCCCGACTCAAGACCCGCAAGGTGGATTTGAACAGCCGAAGTTTGCCCAAATGTACTTCATGGACCCGGACGAGGCTACAGCTGCGCGATCTGAGCTCAACCGAGAGTTAAGCCAAGAACTATTGCAACTACTCGAGGAGATCATGCGCTTTAACAACCCGCTCGCCCAATCGTTTATGATGATGAGAGAAGTGATCGAAGAAACCAACCAACGCGCAATCGCAGCCGGAGTACAATCGCCCAATGTTCACTTCGTCTTTACAAACCATGAAGGCGACGATCCTCGACGATTCAACGCACCAGTTGTAAACGAAATAGCCGCAGTCTTGACTCTCAACGCCGATCAAAGCATCCCAGGGAATGAAATGGTCATGCGAGAACGCGGGAAAAAAATCACGCAGCTAAGCAACATCGATGGTCGCGTCGAGCCTTTTACCTACCCGCTTTTCTACCCGAGAGGAACTTTTGGAATGCCGCTGCACACGCCTTATCTATCAAGAAATCATGTTACACGCGCAGAATTTGCCTGTTACCGACTCGCCTACCGTCCGAATTATGCCAAGCCACTCCCGATTGATTGCACAAATGCAGGAATAGATCAACGATTGGTCGAGTTTAATGCACTTCACTTTGGCGGACGCTTACTCCAGCAATACGTGGTCGACACCTACATTCGCGTCGAAAGAGATCGCATACAGTGGATAAAGAGCCATCAGCGTGAAATTCAAGCCGAGAAATACGCAGGAGTTCACAACATGCTCAGAAGCTTGGCTGCGCAAAAAGATACTGCAATTGGCGAAACAACCATCTTACCGTCATCTTTTCCCGGATCAACGCGCTGGTACACCGAGAATTTCGAAGACTCCCTGGCATTAGTGAGAAGATTTGGATCGCCCGAATTTTTTATCACCGTTACCTGTTACCAATCCGCAGTGGCCAGAACTCCTGTCAGCGATACGCAATGAATTCAACGCAGCAATTCCGGAAAGCCTGTTGGCTCTAACCCGTCCAGACATCGTTGCAAGAGTCGCACGTCTCAAGTTCCGCCAAATCGTCGAAGACATCATGACGCATCAAATCTTTGGAAGAGCATCCGCGTACGTCTTCACCATCGAGTTCCAAAAGCGAGGTTTACCGCACATGCACCTATTAGTGATTATGTCGCCAGCGGACAAGATTCACAGCGCTGACCAACTTGACGATTTTATCTCGGCGGAAATTCCAGAAGATGATCCGGAACTCAAGGAACTGATCTCGAAATGGATGATCCATAACCCGTGTGGTGATATGAACCCAAGCGCTCCGTGCATGGTCAGCAAACATGGAAGAGACCAGTGCAGATGGGGATTTCCAATGGAACATCAAGACATGACATCGCTGGTGGACGATGAAAAGCCGAGGTATCGCCGACGCTACAATCCGTTGTTGGATCCAATGAACCCAGAATTCTCGCATGAGCAAGCCATCTACAGGAAAGACTGCAACGGCCAGCGCGTCACCACAGACAACCGCCACGTCGTCCCGTACAACGCCTACCTGCTCAAGAAGTATCAATGCCACATCAATGTCGAATTCGTCGGCAGCATCGGACCGGTGAAATACCTCTACAAGTACATCTACAAGGGCCATGATTGTGCTACGATAAAGGCCGTCGAAAACCAGCAGACGATCATCTACAACGAGCCGGAGAAGTACGTGGAAGCTCGCTATATCTCACCAGTTGAAGCATGTTGGCGCCTATTCAAGGATTTCGAGATCCAAGCGAAAAGCCACACCGTCGTTCGACTTGACATTCACCTACCCGGACAAGATGGCGTTAACTTGGACCAAACGCCAGTTGACCTTGCCGATATTGGACAGAAGGGATCGACCTTAAGGGCTTACTTCCGCCATAACACCGCGCTGAAAGAAGACGAAGCGAACGGAAAGGCAGTCACCTACCACTATTACCATGAAATGCCGGAGCACTACCGATGGATTGGCCAGACGAGCACTTGGCAGAAGAACGTGAATGCTTGCAGCAGAATTGGTCGCGTACATCCAGTCAACTTCGTTTCCCAGCCAGAACTTTTCTTCCTGCGCACGCTTTTGTTCCACGTCAAAGAACCAACGAACTTCAGAGACCTCTACATTGTCGACGGTGTCCAGCACGCAACCTACAAGCAAGCCTGTCTAGCCAGAGGCCTCACATACGACGACCAACAGTACGTAGAAGGACTCCGCGAATCTGCTTCATCGAAAATGCCAAGTGTTATGCGCATACTCTTCGCTCAAATCCTGATACTTGGTGCGCCAGAAAACCCGAAGAGATTATGGGAACTGTTCAAAGAGGACCTCGCGGAAGATTTCATTCGAGAAGCAAGACGCACTGGTGGTTCCATAGAAGAAGCGATAAAGCGTGCCTACCGAATCATCGCGCATAAGCTGAACACCGAAGCTACCGAAGGCCGCAACTTCCGATACTGGGTGCAGACACATGGCATGGAAGACATCGACAACTATGAGCAAGATTTGGAACACGATATGATCGACGTCGACGAATCAACAGCAATCGGAGACCGCATGTACCAGCAACTCAACGAAAAGCAGCGTGAAATCGTCGACACCATAATCCAAGCACTTGAAGACCCGACTCCTGCTGCGAAATGCTTCTTCATAGATGGACCAGGAGGAACCGGGAAGACATTCGTCTACAGCACGCTGTATCGCATCGTTACCGGAAGGCTTAAGAAAGTGAAATGCATGGCTTACACCGGGATAGCAGCGATTCTTCTACCGAGTGGTCAAACAACGCACCGAACCTTTGGCTTGAAAGTCCCGCTTACATCCGACTCAAGATCATCCATCAAACCAGGATCACCGAAGGCGAACGCACTCAAAGGAGCCCACATGTGTCTGATGGACGAAGCTCCGATGATGTCAAAATACGGCTTGCACAACATCGACGAACTCCTACGCGCGATTTGCAACAACATTCCGTTTGGAGGCAAAGTCATGGTGCTTGGTGGCGACTTCCGACAGTGCTGTCCAGTTCAACAACGTGCCAACAAAAGCGAAATACTCGACCTTTTGATCAAGAGAAGCCATCTGTGGCAACACTTCAAGACTTATTCGCTCGAAAAGAACATGCGCGTTGATCCCGAAGAAGAAGAATTCGCGAAATACCTGCTAAGCTCTACGACGGGGAACTCGAAGTGAATGAACTCGGCGAAATAGAAGTCCCAGAAGAAATTCGCTCTGGTGGTAACCTCATCGATGAAATCTTCGGACCATGCCTCAGAAGTGGGAACTACGAAACAATGAAGAATCGCGCTATTCTTGCACCATTGAACGACGATAAGGACAAGATCAACGAGCAGATTATCGCTATGCTTCCAGGCGAAGAGAAGACATACACAAGTTTCGACTCGGTAAAGGATCAACATGAAGGGGGAGTTCAATTCGCGCCTGAATTCCTGAACTCGATCAACATCGCCGACTTGCCTCCACACAATCTGAAGCTCAAGAAGAACGCCATCATCATGCTTCTCCGAAACTTGGACGTCTCTGAAGGAATGTGCAACGGAACACGATTGATTGTCACCGAACTTTGCAACAACATCATCAAGGCTAAGATCATCACCGGTGAACACGCAGGCCGACAAGTACACCTTCCAAGGATCACGCTCGACTCCAGCAAATCACAGCTTGGCGCAACTATGCAACGGCACCAATTCCCAGTTACTCCAGCATTCGTCATTACGATACACAAGTCACAAGGCCAAACATTTGAATTCGTCGGCATGCTTCTCCTCACGACGGTCTTCGTGCACGGAATGCTCTACGTCGCGTTTTCAAGAGTCAAGCGTCAAAGTGCGTTGAAGGTCCTGCTGCCTCCTGAGAATCCAACCCACACCCGAAACGCCGTATGGAAGGAAGTCCTGAACAAGAGAAACTCACCAGCCGCACCTGCCTCTCCGACAAAAAACTACCTGGACAACATGGAAGACTTCGCAATCGATTATTAATGTTTATTATGTTTATGCTGTTATAGGTTTATAATATGTTTCTTATGTATGTATATATGTTTGGTTTTTCTAAATAAATTTGTCAAAAATATTGAACTTCAACACACTTCAATCTTTACACTGCTCACTTTGTACCATTTCTTTAATTGTATAATTTTTTGTTATCAATTACATTTTATTTCCTATGACTTTTCAAACTTTACCTTCGCATAGAATAGTTCCCTTTCCAAACTCTAACTTTGTTTAGATGGTTTACAATGGTGCACTTTAACCGGTTATCTTTTCACCAATGGTTTCACAAATTTTCTTATGGCATGTATTGTTTTGATAAATCACAATTGAAAATTTAAATCTTCGAGTTAGCTTCGATACCTGTTTTTTCCGAGCGGAGCTCGGTCACCCGCTGGTATATGTAATACAAAGGACAAAATTAAATAATTTGTATCGAAATATCTCTTTCATTGTATTAAAACAAAACCAAAATCAGTGACTAACATTGAAGGCACCAAAAGTGTCATTCACCGATCAGGATGAATTTTTTTCACTGATAATTCTTTTAAATTTTGAAACCATACAATAAATTTATTTCTTAATTTTTCTTATTTAGTTATAAATTATCTAAAGTTACAACTTTTTACGTGAATGCATCGTGCCATCAACTTTCGTTCATTTCGCAAACGAAAAGTTTTGTTGACTCTAAAATTTTATTTTAAGACTTTTCTCCTTAATCGAAAACTTTAATATTTGAGTTTTAAAAGGTTAAATTTAAAAGTTTCTAACGAAATATCGAAATCTAATGATGGTGTCGCTGTTTTTCATTGTTTTTGGTACATTATTATTGGTCAGAAAATCGCATCATAAGATTTAGTTTTCTCATATTAATTTCCATTTCAGCATAAAAGTCATAAAAGTATTGATTTTCTGTAAAATAATTTTATATTCCAAATTTTACGGCATTTGCCTGTAATAATCATTTTGATTATTCTACTATTATTAAGTTTTAAAATTTGATTGTTTACTAAATTAAGAAAGATTTAGTTAAGACTAAATTAAAGAGTTTTTACCACAGAAATTGATATTATTATCCTACGTAAATACTAAAAAATAATCTTGTTTGCTTATACTTGTGCCCCTACTCACCACGTCCATGCATTTGCAGTATATTTCTGTTAAAATCTTTTTGTGAACATAAATAATTTTCCGAAGCAATCATTTTTTTTTAAAATAATAATTAAATTTAAGGTATATTGTTATCACAAAACTGATGAGTTCACAACTGAAACTTAATATTTTCACCTATAAAACAAGCTAATATTTTGAATACACTTAGCACACTGCACCAAAAGGAACGGACAGCCCTAAGTAACTTTTAATCTAATGATCGGATTTCCACTTTATAGGACTCAATCTTAATTGTTCTAAATCGTGGCCTCAACTCTGCTAATGAAATAGTGCAGTTGATGTCTTCAGGTTACGAACTCAGACACAAAGCCCTTCTCCGAATAAACATACCTTTTTTTCAACGGATTTAGATCTCCAACCTCCAAAGTAGCTGCAATCTGGGAAATATGGTCCCCATTGTTTGAAGAAAGCAACCCAAAGTTTGAACCCTTTACTGCTTATTTTACTTTTTGCGAATTTTGCTATATCTCAAAAACGTATTACGCTAACTGAAAAAAATTTCACACAATTATAAAATTCCTTTATCATATTATAATTAAAATGTGTAAGGAAAATTCCATGCAAAAAATAAATTTTAGCAAATATTTATTGTTATTTAACTTAGTAGACCAAACAATTTTGATTTATATGGTATACGAATTTTTGCATCATTACAAAGTGTGTAATTTTACATGAAAAAATGCAAAATTTGAGGGAAATCAGCTGAACAGTTCCTGAGAAATTGAATTTTAAGTATGCGACTTCTTTAAAATTCAATTTGTCAGGAACTATTTGATCGATTTCACCAAAATCTTGTATTTTGCCACGGAATTTCTGCAGTCTTTATAATTCCTTACACATCGTTCAATATCAATATTTTATATTTCTGCGAAAAATGCGAATTAGACTGAATTTTAACTGTATAAAAAATGTAGCTTGATTAGTCAGTGACTTTTTAAGCATATTCCCTGTAAAATACCACTATTATATTCTGGCATGGAGCAACCTAGAACAGATATATTACATAACAGAAATTTATGCTTAACATCTGATAAAACATGATTAACATCTGAAACTAAGTTTCAGTTGCCCTTACTTTTATCAGTTTCTGAAAACTTTCTCTGAGTATATTAATCAAAATAAATTTATATAAAAATGAATATCAATAATGCGTAATGTTGGAAATAAAATTTAAATTACTCGGATTGTTACGATTTCTATCACAAAGTACGCCGATGTTTGTCATAATGCAATCTTCCAAAATCTTATAAATATCTGAAATTTTAAGATTTATTATTGAGTTGTAATTGTCTATTATTTTCATTAAAATATAAATGATATTTATTGCCATCTCTGCTTAATTTTAAATTATTACCTTTATTTCGTCAGGCATTGAATATTCATATATGTTGTGTTTTTCTTTTTAAATTAGCATAATTTTTTTCACTATCTTCATCCTTATTTTGTTGCATATTTGAAAAATAACTTAATTAATTTATAACTAAAATTTTAACTTTAACCCTGACAGTTTTTGGATTAAATATTAATTATGGAATTACGCACCTCAATTAGAAAAAATGAGGCAAAACTAATTACTATATGCAAAATATATTTGCTCATCAATGTTCAATGTACTCCCAACAATGCTTACTGAACACAAAATAAAACTGAAAAAAGTAATAATTCTGTCGGACATTTCCCTAAAAAGAACCAAAAATCGATAAGGATGAAAGCTTTTAATTTAGAACAACATTACTAAAAAAAGTCAATTTTTTTCGTTTAACACGTCAAATTTTTCTATTTCTATTTATATTTACTCTTTCAGACATTTGTCAAAAACAATTTTCAAAATCCATGCGAAATCATTTCTTAACTCAAATTTAAGAACATACGCGTAATTAATAACTAGTAAATGTAATTATTTTTCAGCGAAAAGAAAGGCTAACGGTTGAAGCTTTAATGTACGTCATGAAGAACATATACAAACTAAACTAATTTAACCAACTACGTCAAGAAGCTATTTAAAATTAGCTTCATTTCAAATAACATTCTACAAATCGAAAACGAAGGGAAAAAATTATTTTTGCTTCCCTTTTCAATCAATAAAGTTCCCTAGAAAGGGACGAGAGTTTTCTTTCTTTGCATAAGGTATTTATCTTTAACGTAATTAGATAACAGACATAAGAATTTTTTTCATCGTCGTTTGCAGAAGCTGACTTATTTGTCCGATACACTTTCAGATGAGTCCCGGCTGGATCACATTTTATTTGAAAACTTCTTAGCTAAGATAGATAAAATAATTCATTGCTTCCTCCTGAAGTCAGGATTGGGAAATTTCCTTTTTTATAGCATGTTTATTTTCAGAAAGCGCGCAGCAACATCGATGTTATAAAAAGAATCAACCTAACAGCTTAAGGGGGGGGAAAAAGAGACGAATAAATCTTTATGTGTATTTCGAGATATTCATAGATTTATAAAAGAAATCAATTTTTATCCACTTGCAGATTGCTAGAATAAATATCTGAAGCTTTTGATGGAAAAATCAAACATTTTTTTTCCCTTTGAAAATACAATATTCTTTTGCTATACTTAAGTACCTACTATAAAAATAAAAAAAAATACTTCTAGTTTGCGTGAATAACGGCAATCTAAATAGATTTTTTTATTACAAAACAAACAAGATGCTTTTAAAAAAAGATTTTTCATTATTATTCAAATTTTTAAATATCGAAAATAAAATCCCCAATTTTTATTAAAAAAAAAACTTCTTAATACTGATTTTAAATAAAAAACATACCTAAAAAAACTCAATAAAATATTCTTTCAAAAATGTAATAATAAAATTATTCATGGTACTATTTGGATTTAGAAGGCTATAGTAGAAATATTAAAACGTATGTAGAAGAAAATATTATTTTGTATTTTAATACAAAATAATATATATTTTGTATTAAAATACAAAATATATATTATACTTTTTCCTATAGGGTTATTTAATATGTTGATTTATCCTTTGAAGTGAAATTTTTATTTAATTTATTTTTTATACTTTTTTCATTTTTTTGTATTAATTTAGGTCAAATTAAGTGAAAAATAGTATAGTTAACATTTTAATACAAAATACAGCATGAAACGCCAGTGACATTTTTTGCGTTACAGGTAAAATCTTCTATACACTGCTCACTTCAAAACAATATTTTTTTTCAAATTTACATTTATTTGTAGTTATTCAGATGTAAGAGAAACAATTATTCATTAGTGAAATTTCCTTAATTAACGAAATCAATTTTGAATACGAATAAAAAAATTTAAAAATAATTTTTTTTAATTTTATATTTTGACACAAATGTAATTCCGCTAATCTCACAAAAATGTTTTAGCAATTATTAGACTATTTTCTATAATTAAAAAGCATGGCAATATACTTTTTTTCTAATAAGACAGTTAGGAAAATATATATAAGAGGAACACCTATGTCTCTTCTGCAACAAAGGGTTAATAAGTGAAATAATTAGTTAATAGTAAATAAGAATTTTTACTATCGTTCTTTACAGGATCTGACTTGTTTATCCGATATGCTTTATTATGAGTACCGGCTCAATCACATTTTGTTACAGACCTTTTAAGTTAATATTTTAATTTTTAACATAAGGCGAGCGTGTAAGAATTGCAATTACTCACAGAGCAAAGGCAATAGGCTGCCTTTGCGAAGGACTGGAGTTCAATCTTCAGCGGCGGCTTGAACCTCCCGCAATTTCAGATCGATGAGTGCCAGCTCATCAGCGAAGTAAAGGTGGCATTGTGAACAATACCACAAACATGCCATCACTCATGAAATT